TGCTGTAGAACCACTAGGCTCTAGTGGTACCGTATTCTTACACTGCCTTCTGCCCATCTGGGGTTGGGGTAGTTATAGGTACACGCATTGATTCTTTCTCCAGCTGGTGCAGATGGAGCCTGTGCCTCTGGGTAGCCTCTGATGCCGCTGAGGCTAGTGGTGGTAATCTTGCCTGCTGACTGGCTGTTGGGGCTCTACCTCTAATCAGTGCAGGTGGGGGATATGCCTCCATGGGCCTCTGATGCTGCTGGGGATGGTGGTGGAAGAGCTTCTTCCTCCAGTCATTGTAGATGGGGCTGTGCCTCTGGGGCCCTCTGATGCTGCTGGAGATTGCGGTGGAGCGGCCTGGCTGCAGAGGATTTTCCTGCTGACCAGTTGCTGGGGCTGGGATGGTTGTAAGAGGTGCCGACTTTTGCCATTTTTATCTGCTGCTTCTCTGAAGTTGTGACTATGCTGAATGGGCACCATGGCCTCATTCTGCTCGGAGTTATTGTATACGATGGCACTTGTGTAGCTTTGCATAGTGACCTCTTCCCCCCTTCTCCAGCTGTGTGTATCGCAATCTCTGTCTAAATGTGAAGCTCTTTGTCCAGGAATTGCTTTATATGTATTTGCGTTCACCATGATAGATAGAAGATTATCTGGGATTTTATAGAGTTTTTTTCTTATTTGTTTGAAAAATGACCTATGATATTCATCACTTTGAGCTTTAAATGAGTATAATTTTTAAGTATTTAACAAGCCAAAATAAAAGAAGTGATGAATAGATGATGGATGGACATATGGATGGATGGATGGATGGATGGATGGATGGATATATCGAAAAACACCATCAATTGGCGCCCAAAACATCCAGCAGAAATTAACTGGCAAGATATTTTAAGACAGTTCTAGATCCCCATAGAGAGTCTCGATCAGAGCAGTGTCCCCTCTGGTGAGACTTCCAAGTAAAAGAACAAGCAGCAACACAGAGAGATGGCATCACCAAATCAGGCATTAAGAACATTATCAGAAACCAGCTAGGAAAGTTAAGGCAGCGGGCGTTCCCAATTGAGCTTGCTCTCTCTGGGTGAGCTTGCCATGACTATACATCCAGCATGTCCTTCCCACTGTACAACTTTTACATTTCAGATTAAACAGTGATATCACCTGTTGGAAATGCTATGCCTTCAGGCTGTTCTCAAGGACACAGAGCTGTCTTGAGCTATCTCGTTGTCAGTTGTGTTTCTTCTCTGTCACAGAGTAGGGGCTCCCAATTCCCACACAAGGGCGTTTGGAGTCTGAAGTAGAGGGACCAACCCCACTTCCAGTGCCAGCTGCCTAGTGAGCTTAAACAGTATGCGGCAGTTGGCTTACATGGTACACTTCCCGGACACCATCAGCATCCGTCACATCTCCTTGGATGGTGTTGAAGGATGCAGCCAGCCTCAGAGCCTCCTTCCTTATCTCTTCTCACTTCCTCCTTCCCTCTCCTGCAAGTGGCTTTTTGTAACTGCCCTGCAGTTTAGTGGGCAGGTTGACTTTCCTTCTTGCACTCTGGACATGGACTTGACCCTTTGACATAATATCGATTGTTACACTCTTGGGCAGTGCTTTTGAAATCTCTTTCCAAATGGGTCAGTGACCTTAGGGTCACTTGTTTTTTGATTCAGTATCGCATAGGAACATTTTATTAACTCTTTTATATCTTTTCCTATTTGTATTTTTTTTATTGAGACAACGTCCCAGGCTAGCCTTGAACCCATGATCCTCTTTCTTCGGTTTCCCAGGTAGAGTCCAAGGTCATAGGCACGTGCCATATTGCCTAGCCCTTTTCTTATTTTTAAGACGTAAAGAAATCACTTCTTGTCCCTTTGCTAAAGTGAAGTGTGGTATCTGTTCTTATCAGTTAAATAGCAGAAACTTCCTCTGTCTGAGGACAACACAGTAAAAATAGACTTTTGGTGCTGGGAGATGGAATGGAAGCTTGCTCTGCCCACTTCAAGCAGAGATCTGTTGCAGCACCTCTGGGAATGGCACACTCCTCTTGGGGGAGCATCTGAAAGAAATAAGTGCTCCCTAGAAGCGCTCCCTTCCCTACTATTGTAGGGGGAGACAAGGTCTCATATAGTCAAGCCCAGACTGGCTTCACACTGGCTGTCAGGGAGGATGACCTTGAACTCCTTATTTTCTTCTACTTCCTAGGTGCTGGGACCACTCACCTTCACACCAAAAGTACATTGTTGTGTTTTGATTTGTTTTATTTTATGCATGAGTATTTTACCTGCACATTGTATATGCCTGGTGTCTGTGGAGGTCAGAAGACACCAGATCTCCTGGAACTGTAGTTCTGGGTGGTTGTGAGCTGCTGTATGGGTATTGGGAACCAAACCCAGGTCCTCTCCAAGAGTAACAAGTGTTACTAACCACTGAGCCATCTCATCAGCCCTCAAAAGTTCTGTTTTAAAGGTAAAAAACAGCGGACTTTAAAAACAACAAAGGTAAGGAAAGGGTACTTAACACCACCATGCAGCCATATTTACTGAGCCGAATTCTAGAGTTTTCCATAAAAACAAATGGTACCCAATTTAAGTGACTCTCAAAAGCACAGTCAGGCGCACAGGACTTGGAGCTCCGCTTGTGTTACTGAAGGTCTGAGATCATCACTGGAATTCTCTGCTCAGGTTGAACTCTGACCTCAAATACAATGTGTTGAGTATGGTGTGATTATTAATCAAGCACAATAAATTCGCACTTCCTTTGTTAGCTCATCGGAGGAAGAACCTGAGGAGGGAGACAGGAGAGAGCTCTCTGAGCTGAGTGTGAAGGTGAGCTGGATAATCTCCAGCTAAGTCTCCCTGGATCCGGATGCTGGTCTAGGCTGTCTGCAGGACAGGGCCCTTGGCCCTGGTCCTCTCATTCCTCTCTCTGTATCAAGGCTGTACATACATCCTTGCTTTCCCAGCTCAGTGCAGCAGAGAGAAAGCCGGCAGCCTGGGCTGACTTGCCTCCTTTCCACACCTCTCTGGGTACTGCTCTTCCTCCTTTGACCACACGAGGGAGGGTTGGGATCGCTCCCAGGGACAGCCTGTTTCACAAAAGCCATAGAGACTAAAGACTTAAGGTATACAAACTGTTACCTGGCTCACCTCAGAATTGATTTCAAAATATTTTGTTGCCACTTACCCTTATTTTATGTATATTTTTCATTTTTGAAAAATATTCATACATCAATACATAATTTCCACCTCCCTTGCCCCCAAATCGTCCTGTGCCCGCTTCCTCTCTCGAGTTCTTGATCGCTTCTTTAATACAATATTAATATTAATTTAGTACAATGCTTATAGGAAAACAGTAAACGGGAAAGCAACCCAAGCTTCTCAGGATCGTAAACATCGCTATGTTGTCTAAGCTTAGAAGCAAAACCTCCACCTCAGCAGGAAGCTCATTTTTAAGATGCACATTTTTATCTTAAACTCATTTATTTTGATAAATATTAGAATGAAAAAAATCAATCTCCAAAATATGTTAGCTCTTGAATAAAATGCAAACATAAAGACTGTTCCAGAGCATTATGCGGGGGTGGGGGGAGGGGGCATTAAGGCCAAAGAAGCAATTCACAGAAGCATTCAAAGCTGGCTGATTGAGTGACCCTGGGTAGAAGCAATATCTACACAATCGAAAAGATGGATGTAGTCTGCTTGGTAGGAGACATTTATAATTGATTACAAATTTCAGCAGAGATCTTGGCTGTCCAGTCCATATTGGAAACAGCTCCAGTCAACTTAATTTTAAACCCTAGACTGAGATCTCAAACTCTTACATATATCAGGTAGGAAATCGCTTATGTATTACCTTGAGTTACCATTGGGCATTGAAGACTGTATTATTAGATACAGAATGATCCTGCTGGCCGAAAGAGAATTTACTGATGTACTTGGGTACAAAATGGCTCTATTTTCTCGTGTCAAACTCTCATACTTTTGTTTGTTTTACTTTTATTTTATATTAATTTTGAGGAATGCTGGGTATTAAACCCAGGACTTGTAAAATTCATACCATACAAATGTCTTACCATCAAGCCTCACCCCCAGGTCCTCATAACTTACTTAATGAGATTTAAGTATGGTTTCCTGGAATTATTTAAAATTAATATGTTTTATTTGCAAGAAGAAAGTTTTCTGGTTCATTTTCATTCTCTCTCTGTGACTCTCAATATAGTCTTGCTGCATAGGCCTGGCTGCTATGAAATTTACATGCAAACCAAGTTGTCCTTGAACTCACAGTAATCCTCCTGCCTCTACTTCCCAAGTGCTCAGATTTTAGCTACGTGCCACCTTTCTCTGCGGCCTCATTTGTATTTTAAGGAAATTAAATCATGATAATTTTTTCATGTTGTATTAGCATTTTAATTATTAATGATTTCTTTAGAAGATTAGTGAATGGCTACATGATATTTTATGTTTTTTGTTAGTAAACACAATTCCACCTTTCTTGGTTCAGCAAAGATAGTTTACTCTATATAAATACAATAGCTAAACTACAGCAACAGAATCAATGTATTGTTGAAATTGGAGCGGCGGGGCTGCGTCCCCGGCACCCGGCCGCCCGTGTGGCTAGCTTATGCCCAGAAATAATTACACGGAAACTGTATNATAGCATGTGTTTAAGATGTTTTTTTTCTTTATTTTTATTTTATATGTATGGGTGTTTTGCCTGCATGCAGGCCTCAGCACCACAAGTGTGCAGTGACCACAGAGGCCGGAAGGGGGCGTCAGATCCTCCAGGACTGGAATTGCAGATGGTTGTAAGCCATGATGTAGATTCTCAGAATGCGAACGGTGTCCTTTGGAAGGGCCAGAAGTTCTCTCGACTGCTCAGCCATCTTTCCAGCCCCCTAGTAGTATGCTTCTGAGGTTGACTAAAACTCCTTGCTTCTTTCAGCCGTCTGCGGCCAGCACTGAATTTGCTTTCGTTCACCTCACGAGAGGTTTCATGTTGTATGTGCTCCTCCTTTCCAGATCGCATTCTGGACACTTGCATTTGTCCTGGCCCACCCGGAAGTCCACAGGACCGTTTTAGAAGCCATATCTTCTGTGTTCGGCACGACAGGTACTAAGTTAATTTACCTAACTAAGGGCGCATTTAGTCCGTATGGTTTGCATCTTGACTGTCTACCATGCTTTAAGGTCAGGACCAGGGTTTGGGAGGCAGCTCAGTTGGTAAAGGGCTGGCTACACAAGCATGAGGTCTTAAGTTCAATCCCCAGCACCGGTTAAAAAAGAAAAAAAGGCTGGCTGGGTAAGGCCTTTTTCTTGCAATCCCAGTGCTTAACATGTAAAATTATGAACCGCCATAAGAAAAATGAAAAATAATTTGATTTTTCTTGTTCAAAAGTTTAATATCATTGTATAAAATACCATGTGAGTTAAAAGTTGTCCCTCCCTCGCCTCCTCCATGATGACTGAAAATATTTTGAAAATTCTTTGGCGTTTCTTCCAAACTCAAGCAAACTTGACTATCATGTTGGGTACCTAAGCAGTGCCTTGCCAGCCCAGCAAGTGAACCCAGCAGTATTGGGCTTTATCTTAGAGAGATTTGGGAATTGGAATTATTTAAGAACTAGGGATGCTCACAGTGGGATGAATTTCAGGACAGGTCATTGCTCTATAGAGAGCCCAGCTCCACAGGGCTGATCACAGATGGGCAGAGTGAGTAAACAGTAGGGACCCTCCCTGACTCAAGCTCTTCCCCATGTGCTGGGGTGCTCCCTGACTTATGCCCTTCCCCATTTGCTGGGGTGCTCCCTGAATCAAGTTCTTCCCGTTTGCTGGGGTCTTCCCGTTTGCTGGGGTGCTCCCTGACTCAAGCTCTTCCCGTTCGCTGGGGTGCTCCCTGACTCAAGCTCTTCCCGTTCGCTGGGGTGCTCCCTGACTC